TTTATTGTGAAAATACTGTACAGAGAGGTTACAATTACATGGGCAAGATAATGAGTACATTTCTTATCAAGCATTGTAGCCTCCTCCTTTGTTTCCCCTTCCCATCCCATCCTCCCCCACACACACACCAAAGATGTAAAGTTTGTTTTCGACATAACTCTTGTACGTCTCATTGGTAGACATTTTTAATTTTTTAATTTTTATTATAGTGGTGGACATTTTTATATTTACACTCCTAACCTTTAAAAAATGCTTCTAACTTCTAATTAATAATAGAAATTTTGGTAGATTTATTGATCACATTAGGGAATTCTGTTTGCTTGATAAAGAGTTCAATTCCCCTTTTGTAAAATTTCAACTATGTTTTATGGAATGCTTTCTCCAAATATCTGAATAGAGTGAATTATCTCAATTCTTTAAAATATTACACTCTTCTCATTACTGTGATAAGCCCCCAACTGATACTCATTACATTGGTTATATTAATTTGCATATGTCTATGTACATATTTGAAAAATAGACACTTTTAATTTGTGTCTGTTTGCATTAATTTGGTACAAATACCTTATTTCAGAATGTATGCTGCTAAATATTTCCTTTCTTGAGCTACCCTTTCCTATTTTGTTTCCAAGATTAGATTTGACTTACAAAAAGTTTTATTTTATTTTCTAACATAATTATATAAAATAACTTTTCCAAGAATAATTAGTAAATATCAAACCACCAGCCTTCTCCTGGGTTTCAACTACTTTTCTCAAAGTATGCTATTAACAAGTTCCTTTCAGTGTGACAGTATCACTGGAAAGATGATTATTTTGATCTTCTCCTTTTCACTGGAAGAGGACACCAACATCATATTCTTGAAAACTGGCAATTTTCATCACAGGAGAAAAAAGCTACATAATAAGTAAGAAACAGTAGGTCAAATAAAAATTAATTAGTTTGAATTCAAAGTATTGATATGAAGACGTAATAATATATATCTTTTAAAAACTGAGTGTCTGTCTAGTTCCCATGTGCTGGTTTGGCACATGGAAAAGGGCAGAAATAATGAAATCCCAGTAGTAATGAAGATCCCTGGCACCTGGACTTACTAAAAATGGAGGACTAGCTGACAACCTAGATTTGGGGTAAGAAATGAACTATATTATCCAGAAGCCTCTGTCATAACAGAGAGTAAGG